GACTGTTTTGTGTGCTCCAAGTCTTAATGAATTGCTTTATTTGCTTAACCTTAAATGTGCAGGTTAGTATGAGGCGTTTTGTCTTTGTAAAAAAAAAAAAAAAAGAATGACGGCACACGTCACAAATAGATGTGAGAGGACAGAGGACAATCACAAAAAAAAAGTTTCTGCAACATTCCAGATGACCCTCAATAAGTAAGGTCTGAAAAGTATTATGAATCCCTTCAACACACTGAACTGATTAAGCAGGCATTCGGAGGGAAAAAAATCATCGGTGGTCAACTCAAACAATAATCCTAGACACATGTTTTCTTGCAGGGAAAGCCAGCCTCAGTGATGGAGCAGTCAGTCACTTGTGTTTTTAATATCTGCATTTTTTTAAACAGTCACAACGTGTACTTAATCAGCTAATACGCCGTATTAGAATATTAAATTAGAACTGTCACTTAAATATTGGTCTGCTTCCTACTCTAGGGTAGCCTGAACTATTAGAGGTTTTTTTATTGGGTCTATTTTTTGAAAGGAATGCTTTTATGGTTTACACTCGGTAGCTTTGGCTGATTAGGGCAGCAGTTAGAGCTTTAAGTCACAAAGGGCTTCTTCATGACTGCTGACACTGTTCATTATCCAAGATGACATTCCACTTTAAGACAGAAAAGAAGCAGCTGTGATGAAATGCTGGGGACATGGTGTAGATAAATAGATGGATAGATGACCTTTATTGTAGGGTTGGGAGAGTCCCTTGTACAGAAAAATTAATATTGTGAAATAATGAATTTGCACTGCATGATTAAAACCTGACCTGAACCCAGGATGAGAATGAATTGAGACCTTTACGAAATATTAACAACACAGTTTGTTTTTTTGCGGAAAAAAAATAGAAATGCTCAATTATTTATTTTTGTATTATTGACATTCTGATTGCTGACAGTGTAATCCCTTAGTATTTTATCACTAACAATCTCCCTTTGCCCTTTAATCTTTCCCACCCTGTACTGACTTTGTAAATGTTGCCTCTTTATGACAGAGGATGTACAGAAGAGATTGTTTTTTAACAATAGATTAAGTGATCTCTTACCGTCCTGTGGAAAGGAACTGAATGTCTACACTTAAGTGCGCTGCAATAAATGAGTTTGTGTATTGATTGAAAACAAAATGTGTCATTTTTTGTCTCCATTAATGAGAACTTGTGTCATACCTGCTCATCAACAGAGATTTCTGCACTGCAGGTCTGATGGATTTAAAGCTCCTGTGATTAGCTGCTGACTAGTCATGAAACAGACTGAATTATTGCTGATGCCTATTATTAACAGGAATAATAATAGTAGAATAATCACATTACCTTTTAGTATGTTGAATTTTTTTTAAAACATATTGTGGAAAAAAAAAAAGTTAATTATGTGAAACAAAATGTAAAGGGTTGCTTTTTAGATTTCATAATGACCTCAATTAAAACATTTAATAAAAACAAAATAAAATAAAAACAACCCCTAGAGGAATAGATCAAAAATGGAAATTGTGGTCCCTCAATCAATGAAGGAGTATTTAAGAAGTTTTCTCTTTCTGGCTCGTGCTGTTGTCCGCACATGGTTTACACGCACGCACTCACGCACGCGCGTCATCAAACACCATGGTAACAACCAACCGAGGCTATATAAGGACCGCAGACCGTTCAATTTTCCCCCTTTTGCAATTGAACTTTGACGAGAGTTGACCTTTTGCAAGACCTTGCTGGAAAGCTAACTATTTAAAAGCGCTGCATCAATATCTTCTCCAAGAACACTTCTTCTAAAACAACAGGAAAGAAAAGAACTTCTTGGACTCAGTGGGACACCTATCGGGGTCACCAAAGAGCTCGGAGATCACCTTCAGCGGACCGGTGATGGACGAGGAGCACCTGTCCGCCCAACACTTGTCTGACAGCGGTGGAGGTATTTCAAATGTGACCTTTTTTTTTTTAATCATTGACATTTCACTGATTAATTTATTAATCTCCATAAACGCTCTGACGTTTTATCAGTCAAACCTTTTTTTAAATGTGAGATTTAAAGTCGAGAGCTCTCATGATGTTATTAGGGCCTCAATGAAAAAAACAAATGTTTGGTGAACTTTGATTTTCTCGCTGTTTTTCCTGTGTAAAAAAAACCTTTTGATTGCTGTAATGTCTGAATACTTAGCGCGCCAATTGTGGACTCAATTAGGAAGTGTCGGGGTGATTTGAAATACTGTTATTTTGGTTTAAGAGCAACAATTTTGTTCGGAAATTAAACATAAATTATCTGAAAAAGATGGCGACCAAGCCAAATTTTGTAAAATGCTAAATATATTATTTAGTTTTGCACCATGGAGACCATCATTCGGGAGATCCATGACGTCAGAACGTCAGTGTCAGTAACTAGGCACGTTCTTATCTCAGTACGTTTGTGTTGATGTGGAGATAATATTAAATTATCTTGTGCTTTTATTTTCAAGCTGTTCTCATTCCATCAAATTACGATCATGGGTTTTATATTCATTTAGGCCTACTATATTTGAGTTCAATGTCATAATTCATGCTTTCAATTGCGATTTTTTTATTAAATCAAATTGAATCAAATTTGATACAGTGGCCTATCAAATAGTCCCTTCTTCCTATTAAAGCTCTGAGCTGGTTGGAGAAGTAGACTTTATTTTGCCTATTTTTAGAAAATCCTAGAATTGTAACATTTGTCAGTGTTATGTTTGTTTATCCATCATGTATGTAAATCCACCAGTAAAACAGGACTAATCTATAAAAGGCTTAAAAAAATGACCAGATTGTAGATTTCTAGTTTATAACCTGGGTCTTCTGACGTATATATATATATATATATATGAACATCCTTGTATGTATGTTTCATAAAGTGTTGCATGAACGCAGCTTTAAAAAATCATCAAAGTAGAGCGTCACAATATTTTGTATCACTGTTAAAGGGCCTAAGGTTTGTGGCTGGTTTGGGATTGTTTAGGCTGCAATCTTAGTCAGTATACAGACAAATGAAGTGCTTACTTTACACAGATGTTGTTATTTAATCAGACGTTGTTACATTTTGAAATCAGGTATACTGATGCTTTATTTTTGTCTCCCTCAGTGGTACGTCCTGACGGCCTCCCCGAGATGATCAGCATCAGGATCGTGGACGACGATGATTCTGAGGTAGAGGTAGGTATACCAGAGGACACTCCCCCAGTGTCCTCTGGTGATGGAGAGGAAGTCATCTGGGTCTTGGATGACGAGGAGGAGGAGGAGGACCAGGTAGAGGTAGGTATACCAGTGGACATTTTTTCAGTGTCCTCTGGTGATGAGGAGGAAGTAATCTGGATTTCGGATGACATGGAAGCAGAGGAAGAGGTAGGTAGACCAGGGGACATTTCTCCAGTGTCCTCTGAGGATGAAGATGAGGATGAGGTGAACGGAGAGGAGCAGGAAGAGGAGCATGAAGAGGAGAGGGGAGAGGAGACTGAAGAGGAGACTGAAGAGGAGACTGAAGAGGAGAGCGAGTATGAGGAGGACTTTTCAGACTCGTTCAGTGAGGATTCTGGGTATGAATCCATGTATGACTCTGAAGAGCACCTCGAGGATGAAGATGAAGAGGAGGACAACAGATCTCTCTCTCCTTTGGACCAGCAGATACCGGAGGATTTCTACCAGAGATGGCAGCAGGTGTCTCCTCCTGTTCCTGATGCTCCTCCTCAGCTGCTGACTGTCCGACATCCACAGGAAGAAGATCCTACCTCACCTTCAAGATCAGAAGATAGTGCTCCCTCAACCTCAGGCCTCAGCTCCTCCACCAAGAGGAGCAGGGAGGAGATCCTCACAGAGCAGGTAAGTAGTAAGAGGCCCAGGTGTGACTGTGAGGAATGCTACGAGGAGAGTGCTCCCTCAACCTCAGGCCTCAGCTCCTCCACCAAGAGGAGCAGGGAGGAGAGCTACATGGACTCCACTCCATCCACCTCAGGCTCCTACAGAAGAAGAGGATTCTGGGAGTATCCCCCTGTGGTTGATGACAGTGATTCTGATTTGGATGACAACCCTGATTCCACCTCTGCAGTAGAAGAGGAAGCCAGACCAGGGGACATTCCTCCAGTGTCCTCTGAGGATGAAGATGAGGATGAGGTGATCGAAGAGGAGAGCGAAGAGGAGTATGAAGAGGAGTATGGAGAGGAGTATGAAGAGGAGTATGATGAGGAGTATGATGAGCAGTATGAAGAGGAGTATGATGAGGAGTATGAAGAGGAGTACTATGAGGAGTATGAAGAGGAGAGCGAAGAGGAGAGCGAAGAAGAGTGCGAACAGGAGTTCGAAGCGGAGAGTGAAGAGGAGAGCGAGGACGAGAGGGAACAGGCGACCGAGGGCGAGGAGGACTTCTCAGGCTGGTTCAGGGAGGATTCAGGGTATGAGTATGACTCTGAAGAGCACCTCGATGATGAAGATGAAGAGGAGGACAACAGATCTCTCTCCCCTTTGGACCAGCAGATACCGGAGGATTTCTACCAGAGATGGCAGCAGGTGTCTCCTCCTGTTCCTGATGCTCCTCCTCAGCTGCTGACTGTCCGGCATTCACAGGAAGAAGATCCTACCTCACCTTCAAGAGCAGAAGATAGTGCTCCCTCAACCTCAGGCCTCAGCTCCTCCACCAAGAGGAGCAGGGAGGAGATCCTCACAGAGCAGGTAAGTAGTAAGAGGCCCAGGTGTGACTGTGAGGAGAGTGCTCCCTCAACCTCAGGCCTCAGCTCCTCCACCAAGAGGAGCAGGGAGGAGATCCTCACAGAGCAGGTAAGTAGTAAGAGGCCCAGGTGTGACTGTGAGGAGAGTGCTCCCTCAACCTCAGGCCTCAGCTCCTCCACCAAGAGGAGCAGGGAGGAGAGCTACACGGACTCCACTCCATCCACCTCAGGCTCCTACAGAAGAAGAGGATTCTGGGAGTATCCCCCTGTGGTTGATGAGGAGACCACAGGAGTATGAAGAGGAGTATGAAGAGGAGTATGAAGAGGAGTATGAAGAGCAGTATGGAGAGCAGTATGGAGAGCAGTGGAAGAGGAGTATGGAGAGCAGTATGGAGAGGAGTGGGAAGAGGAGTATGGAGAGCAGTATGGAGAGGAGTATGGAGAGCAGTATGGAGAGGAGTATGGAGAGGAGTTTGAAGAGGAGTATGGAGAGCAGTATGGAGAGGAGTGGGAAGAGGAGTATGGAGAGCAGTATGGAGAGCAGTGGGAAGAGGAGTATGGAGAGCAGTATGGAGAGGAGTGGGAAGAGGAGTATGGAGAGCAGTATGGAGAGGAGTATGGAGAGCAGTATGGAGAGGAGTATGGAGAGGAGTTTGAAGAGGAGTATGGAGAGCAGTATGGAGAGGAGTGGGAAGAGGAGTATGGAGAGCAGTATGGAGAGCAGTATGGAGAGGAGTATGGAGAGCAGTATGGAGAGCAGTATGGAGAGCAGTATGGAGAGGAGTATGGAGAGGAGTTTGAAGAGGAGTATGGAGAGCAGTATGGAGAGCAGTATGGAGAGCAGTATGGAGAGGAGTATGGAGAGGAGTTTGAAGAGGAGTATGGAGAGCAGTATGGAGAGGAGTGGGAAGAGGAGTATGGAGAGCAGTATGGAGAGCAGTATGGAGAGGAGTATGGAGAGCAGTATGGAGAGCAGTATGGAGAGCAGTATGGAGAGGAGTGGGAAGAGGAGTATGGAGAGCAGTATGGAGAGCAGTATGGAGAGGAGTATGGAGAGCAGTATGGAGAGCAGTATGGAGAGGAGTATGGAGAGGAGTATGAAGAGGAGTATGGAGAGCAGTATGGAGAGCAGTATGGAGAGGAGTTTGAAGAGGAGTATGAAGAGGAGTATGGAGAGCAGTATGGAGAGCAGTATGGAGAGGAGTATGGAGAGGAGTTTGAAGAGGAGTATGAAGAGGAGTTTGAAGAGGAGTATGAAGAGGAGTATGGAGAGCAGTATGGAGAGCAGTATGGAGAGCAGTATGGAGAGGAGTTTGAAGTGGAGAGTGAAGAGGAGAGCGAGGACGAGAGGGAACAGGCGACTGAGGGCGAGGAGGACTTCTCAGGCTGGTTCAAGGAGGATTCTGGGTATGAGTATGACTAGGTGTGCTACTTCCACCTCAGGCCTCAGCTCCTCCACCAAGAGGAGCAGGGAGGAGAGCTACACGGACTCCACTCCATCCACCTCAGGCTCCTACAGAAGAAGAGGATTCTGGGAGTATCCCCCTGTGGTTGATGACAGCTATTCTGATTTGGATGACAGCCCTGATTCCTCCAGGAAGTGAAAAGTGGAATCTTTTTGTCTGGCAGGACTTTTCAAAGCCCCAGAAACCTTTTCCACATGTCTTGCAGACAATGCTGTTAGGCCACCTTATACCTGCAAGTACTGTACAAGCATTGGGCACGTTTTTTGATAGTTTAAATCAACTTCTGGAATAGTGCAGACTCAGAGGTAGTTACTCTTTCTTACTTTGTTATGTTGTTGTGTATTTGTCTATGTACAGTCCAGGTGGCTATACCAGACAAAGGTAAGGTAATATTTAATAACAATAGTTTCTAAAGACGGCTGATAATTCCATGCACAGGTAATTAAACACTGTTTATTGTCATCACTGTGTTGCACGTAACCATGTTTTAAAAATAAGGTGTAGGTGACTAGCAGACAGAGGTAAGTTTATACTGTCTAACATTAGGAATCTAATGTTCATATCCACTTTTTTTAAAATAAAAAGCAAAATGTTGTCTTTAGCCACTTAGTTATACTGTTGTTTGTTTGCTTCTCAGGTGTACCAACCCCCCCCCCCCCCCCCACAAGATGAGACGATGGAGAAGGCCAAGACTCGACACCCAAGATTCCCATGGCGACAGAAGACGTGTTTACTCCAGAGCAGATGTGAAGGATGGATGACTACAGGACCAGCTGGAGAGCGATGGGCACCTTGCTGTCACACAGCAAAGTAAGTGCTGATAAACTTAAGATGACTTTATGTGTATTCTTTTTATTATAGGTAAAGACATCATGCAAAGGTTGTAATACTATGTCCACACTAACACATGTCTTATGATTCTTTTTCACAGGGCAGGACTCCTCTGTGTTTCCAGTGTTCCTGCATGGGGCATCTATGAATGGACAACCAATCATTCCTCCAGAAGCCTCAGAGACCCACAAGCCCCTCCTCGTCTGCCCCACCAAGCCAAACCCCCCAACACCACCCTCTTCTCTCTTTCCATTTTTAAAATCTTTGAAAAATAAATAATATTTGTGTGCCATAAATTATCTTGTTTGTTTTAAGTTCATAGTTGAAAGTTTAATTATAAACTAAGTGAATGTACAGTAAATATTATATGTATAACTTACTGATCTGATATCTAACTGTACAAGTTTTAAACAAGGGTTCATTAAGCAATTTTCAGACTCTGAAAATACTAAACAAGTTAAATAATTTTCACAAACAGTTCTATATCACAGAGTCAAAAGGTGAATATAAAATTGCTATAGGGCATTCTCTGGCCTTAAAATAATTTCTAGATTATACTTCATTGAAAAAGGGAAAACTAATAAATGCATTTTTGAGGAAGCACGGAGGAATTCTGTGGATGTCAGCGAGAGATGTTCAACTCAAGGAGTCCCATTAGATATGTTCAGAAGTTCCAGTTCAGCACTGAGTTTCATGAGGAATAAAGTGTCAAGCTGCATGCACTAATAAAACAAAACACTGGCAAATGCACAGATAGAGACAGCACAGTAAACGAGCCCTCACCCTCTTTTCAGTATAGTGTGTTCCAGGCTATTTTTCTTTTGCAATATTATGAAGTTATCATCAAAAAATAGATGCATTCTCGAGAGGAAAGACTGTTTTATATTTATATGTTTTTAACATGCTTCAGGGTATTTCTTCTGAATTTAGGACTGTGTCAGTATTTGGGTGGTTTAAATCAGTTTGGTGTGGTTTCATGCATGTCAATAGCTCTTGGCAATCTGGTGTCATATGCCATATTGGTGCACATAGAGACTGTTTCCTAGGACTGTGGAAATGACAAAAATATCCAACTGGAAATATTGAAATATTATGTGTGCATAATGAAATCTGTTTGGATGCCGTAAGTGTAATTTGAATTTTGAAATATTATTTTATGGAAGTAATTATTGAAGCAATGTCAAGGAGTTTGTCTTTGTTTAAATAGCCTACATAAAAATACGGATCTTGAATGAAGAAATCATTTTAACATGGTACATTTTGAATGGTTTAAATTTACATGTTTGTGTTTACTTGGCATGCCGCAGCAATCGTTTTTTTTTAATTTTATTTGGTAAATGTTTTTTTTTTTTTCTTTTTGGAAAAACACCCAAACCCTCAAACATGCAACAAACTTTGTACATTTCCTCAGGCACTCCTTTATGTAGGCTTACTTATCTATGAAAGGAAATTGATTGAGAAAACTCACTTTTCTGAGGATTTTATGATGGCACGGCATTTTTAGAGATAAGGCCACAATTAAATATAGCCTGCTCCCTTCGTGAACATACATTATTATCCTAAACGCATCCTCCTGCTTGCACATCTGTTGGGTTGGCATGGTTGGCATGTATCATATTTTAAAGATAGATCCCATAGAATGAAATATAGACATACAAATAATGCCATTCAAGCATTACTTATGGGCCTCCATGCATGTGTGGTGTGTTGGTGACTGTGTCCTCTGTCTTCTGAAGGTTTTGGTTTATTTGGGTTGACACAGGAGGTTTCTGGGTGGGAGGTGGACGCGTTTCCCTCTTCGATCAGCCAATGACGGCGCGCAGGTGAGTCGTTATGTAGTGAGTGGATATCATTCATTCAGCGATTGGCCGCGCTTCAAACCGGCGAATATGACGGACGCGGACATTGCGACAACCAAGTGAAAAATATAATCACAGTGAGCCGAAACGCCAAGCGAGCGGATAAAGTTTGTTCTGAAACGAGGGTTCACTTTTTGGGGTTGGCTTTCACCCACGGACGCGGGAGTTGGCGTTGCTTCCTGTTGGACAGACAGGGTGCCAAACACCAAGGTCAGCTTACACCGCCGTGCCTGTAGCTTTCAATGTTGGTCCAAGAAAACGTCCTGTAGTGAGTGTGTGTGTGTGTGTGTGTGTGCGCCCCCCGGGGACGAGCCCAGGAGCAGGGGCCCACTTTGAATGTTGTGTTTACAAGCTGCAACGAGCATTTCTACTGACTGTTCCTTGAAGTAGCCTAATGTTTTGTGGCCACAGGTGCGTGCAGAGGAGCTGTGACTCACGCTGACCTGAACACCCCTCCAGAGAGGACGCGGGACAACAAGATGCCCCTGAAGCGGACGAGAACGCAGCAAGTGCCCAAATTAAAGAACAGCTGAGCGGGAGCTGCGACAGAGCAGGCTGACTCTTTTCATTCAGCAGTTTGAGAAAGAAGGTTTGGTAGACTTGTCAACTGTCGGGTCATCCTCCACAGGTGTGAAGCTCTGCCCGTAAAACTGCCAAACATTTACCTTCACAGCACAAGAGCGCATGAACGAGTTGGAGGCCAAACTGGAGAACATGCTGGCGACAGTGGACATAGTCTTCAAAGTGGAGCTGATGAAGATGCCGCCTCCTCTAAGAAACACACTCATCGGGGATTGATAAGCGGTGAGACGTGCGTCATCATCCACACATTAAATA